AATTGGAATCTGATGGTGTATGCACCTGGCATTCTCAGAATGCATGCTTGGAGTATCAGTACATGGGCATCTGGACATAGGCCAAGACACAAGTACCCTTGCAAAACCAGCCATCTGGATACAGCAAGCACACATGGCATGTCAAGTGACTACAAGTACACAGATCAAAACACGTGTGGATTGCCACTGACCACACTCCAGTACCCTGCAAGGTGGAAGGTGGAATACAATAGGAATACCACCTGAATATAGCTGGAACTCACCAGCCAACAGAAGTAATTCAGCATTGACACATCTGCATTTTCACAAGCTTAATACAGAACAACATAACCTTTTTTTTTGAAACTTACAAAGCCTACCCTTGGGATACAGTCATCTACTCAACTGGAGCTTAGCAAGCCCACATGTGAAATACCATCCTATCTTGGGTTTTTTTTTCAATGTCCTCACCCTCGGAAAACAATCCCACATATATCTGAACTTCTTCAAGCCCAGGTCTGGAATACAGTCCCTATCAATTGGGAATTTCACCTGTTTATCTTTGGAATGCAATGGCATATGCTCCTGGAGTGGCAGAGTTCACATGTGATATACCTGTACCTAGACATCTGGACATCTACAAGACAAAAGGGGAACTGAAATGCCTTCACATCCAGATATCATCAAGCGCATGTGTGGAATAGCAGCAGCTAGGAGTACAGGTATCAGCAGATGTGGAACACCATTGACTACATCTCCAGCATTCAAAAGGCCAAAGATGGAATGCCATCACCAGCATCTCTAGAGTACAGCAATACCACATTTGGAATACCATCCTGAAAGAGTTTGCAATTCACCACCACAAGAAAATACCTAGGATCACTACTTCATCAGCCAATATGGAATACAGTCAGCATCCCCTGGGGAAATTATAATGCCATTCATTGATTGGAATAAAATCCCTACCTGAATGGAGAGTAGCCAGTACATCTGTGGAATACCATTCTATTCTGGTGACTTTGCAGCATTCTCAGTTGGAATACAATTATACACACATTTAGACTTCCTCCAGCCTTGGTCTGGAATATCATTACATATATCGTGGGAGTCCTGCCAGTTCATGTTTTGGATATAATGGCGTATGCAGCTAGAGCTCACATTTGTAATACCAGCATCCGAGTATGGGGATCAACACACATACGGGATTACCACTGCAGCATTCAGCATTGCCAAAGTTGGAATAAAGAAATACAACAGGAATACCTTCCTGAATATGGCTAGAATTCAACAAGCCAACAGAATAATACCATCACCAACACATCAGTGCTTCAACAAGGGCAATATGGAATTAACAATGCCATTTTACTGGAATTTACAAAGCCTATCCTAGCAATATAGTCACCTAGTCAACTACAGCCTAGCCAGCACACATGTGCAGTATTACTCTATATTGGGGTTTTTTTCAGTCTCACATCTGGAATACAATTCTAGACTTCTCAACCCTTGTCTGGAAATAGCATCACGCACATCGTTGAAACTCCGCCAGTTCCTGTTTGGAATACAATGGTGCATGCAACAGCTGGAGCTCACATTTTGGATACCAGCACCTGAGTACAGGGATCAACAGACCTGTACCCTACCATTGACACAGTCCTAGCATTGGGAAAGACCAGCGGTGTAGTGGGAACACCATCACCAGCATAACTGACGCAGGGAATACCATCACCTATGTACCAGCACTGCAACAAGTCTAGTGAGGAATACCATCCCCCTGCCATGTGGAAATTACAATAGCCATGCTTGGAATACAGTCACCTACCCATCAATGAGCAACCACACAGGTGGAATAGTCTCTTCCTTGATCTTCTGTTTAGCAACCTCACACTTGGAATATAATCATATAAACACCTGGAGACTCTCCAGCCCACATCTGGAATACCATCACCATCACCATCTGCAGTCCATCTGGATCATGACTGGAATTCAATGGCATATGCACCTGGTGTTCCCACAGTGCACATTTGGAATATCAGTACCTTGGCATCTAGATGTTAGTCAAGACACAAGTGCACTTGCTGTACCAACCCATCGGGACACAGCAAGCGCAAGCAATACCAAATGGCTGGAGCAACATGCATGGATTACCACTGACTACCATACAGCATCCAGGAAGTCCAAAGCTGGGATGCAGAAATATCAGAGCTGGAATACCATCCTGAACATGGATGGAATTCACCAAGCCAACAGAAGCATCAGTAATTAAACAAGTGTAATATGGAACAACATTGGCATTTTATCTGGAATTTACAAAGCCTACCTTGGGAATACAGTCACCTACTCAACTGGACCTTTGGAATACCATCCTATCTTGAGGTCTTTTCAATCACCTCACCCTTTGGAATACAATCACACACACATCTGAACTTCTTCAGGCCCCTATCAATTGGGAATTTCACCTCTCACCCTTGGGATACAATAGCATATGCACCTGGAGTGGCAGAGTTCACACGTGGATAACTGCACCTGGACATCTGGACATCAACCAAGACCCAAGGAAAACTGCAATGCCTACACATCTGGCTCTCACCAAGCACACACACGGAACAGCAGCAGCTAGGAGTAGAGGTATCAGCACAGATGTAGAACACCACCAAGTATGCCTCCAGTATGCAGCAAGGCCAGAGCTAGAATACCATCACCTTCGTGTTTGCAGGAATACCACCCCAAAAGTGGTTGGAGTTCACGGAGCTCACAGCAGTAATATTGTGGGTGACACATCTGCACTTCATCCAGCCTAATAAAGAATGTAAGGAAATATTTGGAGTGCCAGAACTATGAATAAAGAAAGAGCTGAATGGCAAACCCAACAGACCAACAGGTTTTATTGGACTGAAAATCTGAAAAAGGCAACCAAGTTTCCTTCAGCCTGGATGAAGAAAAACTGGTATTCAGCTCTTTTATTAGGCAGAAAAGTGAAGTCAGGTGGGACAGAGGTCAGGAGTAGTTGGTATTGACTGGGATAGGGGCAAGACGGGAAGGTCCTTGGTCACAGGTTATCTCTTTGAGAGCTGTGGGGTATGTTTGGGGAAGGGTAAGGGGCGAGGAAACAATTGAGAAAAGAGATTGGAAATAGGCAGCAAGGGCAGTTGTAAGATAAGGCTGTCAGGAAAAGGTGAATGCTTTTTGTTTGTCATTTTCCATCAAGGAATACCATTCCCATGTCATGTGGAAAGTGCTGTGCCAATGGCTGGATTACAATCAGCAAGTGCACAGGTAGAATACCATCTTCTTTCTGTAACCTCCCACTTGGAATACAATCAGAGATATATCCTGACTTCCTCAAACCCAGGTCTGGAATACCACTGCCTACAAATCTAGGTCAGCCAGCTCAGAGTCCAGAGTTCACCACTGGACTACCTGAACCTTGGCATCTAGATGTCACCAAGACACAACGCTTTATGTATCCAGATCTCACACCAGGCACATGCAAGGAATATGATCTCCTTCGAGTACACAGATCAGTACAGGTAGGGAATAATACCATCAACCATGCCTCCTGCAGTCAGCAAGGCCAGAATTGGAATACCACCACCCCAGTGTCTCTGGAGTGCAGCAACACCACCATTGGAATACAGTCCTTAAAATGTCTGGAATTCAGCTGGGTGAGGTGGCTCATGACTGCAATCCCAGCTAATCAGGAAACTGAGATTGAGGATCATAATTCGAAGCCAGCTTGTGCAGGCAAGTCTGTGAGAGTATGTCAACTTAACCAGTATAAGTATGAAGTAGAGCTGTGGTTCAAAAAGAAGAATGCGCCGGGCGCCAGTGGCTCACACCTGTAATCCTAGCTACTCAGGAGGCTGAGATCTGAGGATCGCAGTTCAAAGCCAGCCCGGGCAGGAATGTCCGTGAAACTCTTATCTCCAATAAACACTCAGAAAACCAGAAGTGGTGGTAGAGCGCTAGCCTTGAGCTGAAGAGCTGAGGGATAGGGCTCAGGCCCAGAGTTCAAGCCCCACGACTGACAGGAGAAAAAAAAAGAAGAATGCTAGCCCTGATCAAAAAACCTCAGGGACCCCAGAACTGGCACAAAAGAAAATTCTAGAGTTTATGGAGACCACAGATGCCTAGGCATCTATACTACACCAAGCAGCACCAAGATTACTGTCACTATGTTGTGTGGAAATCATAATGCCAAGGGTTGGAATACAATCACCAAACTGTCTGGAAATTAGCACAGGTACCTGTGGAATACCCTCTTCTTTCATGGCAGCGTGACTGTTGGAATACAATCATATATACATCTGGGTTTCCTATCCATCGATTTCAGTCTGCCCATGGTTGGAATACAAAGGCATCTGAACGTGGAGTTCCCACAGGGCACATCTGGACTATTAGTGCTGAGTCCTATGGATTCAGACAAGTCACAAGCATAGGGGAATGCTGACGTACCTGGAGGTCCCTGACCACTGTCCACGCATCTGGTGATCCAGCACACATGTAGAACACCACTGCCTACAAGTCCACTGATCAAGCCCACAAGTGGAATACTATCAACCCATGCATCGGCACTTCACAGTAGCAACTCTGCCATTATGCATCTGGAAGTCATCAGCACACAGATGGAATACCATCGTCAAGCAGACACAGATCTGTGGTGCAGCAGGTGAAATCTTTACCATGTTTATATTTATGTTCATGTAATTATGTTGTATTGACTGTTTGTTTATATGTTTATGGAGTTTAGTAGGCCCACAGGTGGGATACCATAGCCCCAGAGTCTCCAGTTCACCAAGGCCACAACAGCAGAGTGTATGGCATCTAGAGTCCAAGCCCAAAGGCAAAGCACCATCACCTATGCATCTGTAGTTGGACACGTCCCTCAGCAGAACACAATCACCTAATCACCTGGAATTCACCATGCCACTGATGGAATACCATCTCTACACATCTTCACCAATCCCACAATGAACTCCACCTCTTCATCCTCCTCAGCACCTCTGATGCTTGATGTTCATTACCTGTATGACCGGTGAGTTGAAGGACTGTTTGAAGAATAACCAAATTCCATAGTGTAATGTGATCGCTCTGTAGCAGGGGATGGCGGAGGATTCAAAATCTAAAACAAAAAATGATTAATGTATTAGGTAACACCACAGATTCTATCTCCTTTTCCTCCATCTTGTTTTCTATTCCTTCCTATATGTATACTATTAACATAATTCTTTTCCAAGGAAAACTCAAATAGCCCTTTAGAATTTTGGCTCCCTTTCCCTAGAAGACAATATTACCATGGCCACACACAACCAAGGGATGAAAAGAAAATAGACTGTTCACTTATTTAGTACAGCTGGGGTCTAATTTTCATCATCTTTTTTTGGGGGGGAGGGGGCAGTACTGGAATTGGATCTCCACTTCAGGCTCGCTAGGTGCTATACCACTTCATATGTGCCTCTCAACCTATATTCTGATTTTTTTTCAAGCCTTTTTTCTATGTTCACAGAAAACTTATAGGTTTGGGGGAAATCCTAGCTTTGTTTCCTAAAATGAAGGTTCTACACCTGCCAAGTTATGTACACAGTGATTCTATTTTACTTCAATTATAAAGTTAATGCAGTTCTTTCAAATAGGTTATTAGCTAGCAAACTTAAAAGGTTTATATAAACACAGGACAGTTAGTGGTGGTGGTAAGTCCCTGGAGCCTTATGTATTTAAATTCTACATTAAAACAACTTTTACACTACCATCATTGAGTACACACACCTAATGAGGTTATCCTAGATGTTATGATGTTAGTTTGTATTTTTCCTGGTCCTGGGGCTTGAACTCAGAGCCTGGGTGCTGTCCCTGAGCAACTTTTGCTCAAGGCTAGCATTCTAACAACTACACCCACATCTCTACTTTCGATTTTTCTGTGATTAATTGGAGTCTCACGGACTTTCCTGACCAAGCTGGCTTCACACAGTGATCCTCAGATCTCAGCCTCCTAGGATTACATGTGTGAACCACTGGTGCCTGGCTGATGTTATATGTTTTTAACACTCAAGGAACAACAAAACAGATCAGGCTGCTTACTGCAGGGAAGTAAGTGCCTTTGGTGCTTGAAGAACTGCTTGACGATGCTCCGGTGACGTGGGCGCGGTCGTAGGGAGGTCCACTGCTCCCCCCCATGATGCTCAGGGAGCTGATCATTGACTTTCCTCGAGACATTCCTAACATGAAAGAGGACAAAGACTGCAGATGAGCCATGCCCAGGACATAACATCATATGTAATTTGGGATTGTAAACACCAACAGTCAAAACCGTGATTTCAAACAAAGTAAAAAAGCCTTCATTCCCTATCAATAGCAGAACAGCTCCACCTACTGGTGGAGTCAAAGCCCTGCAGGGTGAGAGGTTCCAATAAGTCCTGAAGTGGGGGAGAGATACTAACTGCTCTGAGGAAAGCAGAAGCCAATTTCAGGGTACAAACACAACACATGAAAGGTATTCCTCTCCCCCCAGTGTTAAAAAAAAAAATGTACGATCAAAACTACTAATGTGTAAGAGATTATGAAAATAGGTATGACCCATTATTGCAGCTGTCTGCTTGCTTCAGAGCTAGAGGCAGAGTAAGCAGTTTTTTCAGAAGCCTCTGCTCCTCCAAGCTCACTACCAGCAGGACTGCTTCTGGAAAGGAGCAACCTGCCCCGGTGCTGTCCGCAGGCTCCATGTAACACTGACTACTTGGCCTCACCCCTGTCAGCCACACTCCTTCCCCTGCCATCCAGCTGTCCAAAGCCCAGTCTGCTCATCTGGATTTGGTGGGGAGGTTGGACTCTTTTTTTCCTGAGGGCTGTAGCTTCTAGGTCCTCACCTCAGGCACAGGCTCCCCACTTTTTGAGTCATGATACCATCAGGGCAGAGGGAGGGCTCAGAGCCTACCGATGATCTTTTTCTCTATCCCTGGGCCGTTTCCACTGAGCCACAAGCTCTCTGATTTAAGGAGGTGTGAAAAATAAAGTGTTTTCAACCTAAAGCCATCTAGTTGAAAGAGCCTATTTCTATCACGGGGGTGTAGTAATCTGTTCTTATGGCTTCCCAACTCACCCGGAAGAGACCCCGACAGAGAACTGGGGTGTGGCACATAGCCCAGTGGCACTGAGGCCGGGCCGGGCACCACATAGTCATTGGTCATGGTCTCTCCATCGCCCTTCATGCGTGGACACAGCATCCGCTGGCAGATGAAGTAGATGGTTCCAGAAACAAAAATGGTGACAATCACTCCAATAACAGAACCGACTGTGTTGGTGGCCTGTGGGGCTGGCTCTTCCGTTGGATCTACAATGGAGAATACTACATGGTTATCCAACAAGGACAATGCGTATATTAAGACAACAGCAAAGCATTTTTTGTATGTACATTTATGCTATCACCTATGGAAATCTACTTCTGTGGATGTTTCTCTGAACATAACTGCTCTCTTTAAGGGATTTCTCAAAGCAAAACACACACAAAAAAAATCCCTGGCACAAAAAGCCAACTTAAAAAGGCTTTTTGTTGTTGTTGTTTCTATTTTTGTTTTCCTGTCTTATTTGTTCATTTATCTTCCTTTGGAAGGGACAAAGGTGAACAAATGCAGCAGTGGTACTCACTAGACACTATGTGAAAAATGAACTATACAACTTGTGGGTGGGGACAGGCGGGAAAAACTGGGAGAGAGCCAGGGGAAGGATGGCATTGTCCACCTCCTCTGAACCTTTATAATACCAATAAAAAATAGACAACTTAATACTTATTTTTAATAAGGAAATCTTAATCACAAAGAAAAGGAGAAGCCAGGAGACGGTGGCTCATGCTTGTAATCCTAGTTACTCAGAAGGCTGAGATCTGAGGACTGTGGTTTGACGGCAGGAAAGTCTGAGAGACTCTTATTTCCAGCTAATCACAGAAAAAGCTGGAAGTGATGCTGTGGTTCAAGTGGCAGAGCAAAAGGAGCTCAGGGACAACATGCAAGCCCCAGGACCGGGAGAAAAGAAAAAAGGAAGGAGAAAGCGCTGTAACCTACCCAGGAAGCTGAGAACCTGGGACCACAGTCTGAAGGTAGGCTAGGCAGAAAAATCTGCAAGGCTCCATCTCTAATAAACCAGCAAAATAATGGACTAGAGACACAGCCCACGTGGCCTTCAGGGTAATGTACTTACAACAATCCAGCTCGTCAGATTTGTCTCCGCAATCCACGTGATGATCACATTTCTTGTGCTTTCCAATGCACTGACCATTGGCACAGCGGAACTGGTCAATCAAACAGAGCACTAGGAAAATGCAAATCGTTTTCCTGTTTTTACTGTGTGTCAGGCAATTCCACCAAGGGTTAAAAGATGCTTTCTGAGTACAAATGAAAACCCACTAACTAGACTTCTGGAAAATCCCTAGCTATTATTCCCTGTGCTGTCCTTCAGTAGGAAAGAGCAGAAAGGGAATCTAGCAGGTAACTTCCTGCCGCGTTCTTTCAAGTTCTTCCTTTACTAATAATGACTTTATCCTGTAGGTCACCAGAACAGGTTTTATACTATACAAGGCTCACAAAGGGAAGAGAATGCAATATACTTAGGGCTTACTAGAAAACTACTACTTTTACATCTTGATGACCCAATCTCTCCATGTTCTCTCACAGGACTCAGCTCACTGCTGTGGTTTGGACATGGTTTCGGTACGGCCTGAAAGGTTTGTGCTCTGGAGGCAAGGTTCACAGGGTGGCCCTGTATGGGTGACGGACCTCTGAGGACAGAGGCACAGGGAGCCAAGTGGAAGATCACTGTGTTCCTTTCCTCAGAGTGGATTAAGGTAGCTCGTAGGAGACCTTTGCTCAGTTCTTAACATGAAGTTATCCAAATAGGAAACCGCCCCTCCTCTTGCTCCAGCAGTTTGTCTTAAGGTGTGTTATCACAAAAGTATTCCCGCTACTGCACTGTCATTTGCCATGAAACCTTCCTCAGAGCCCAGCTGATGCTAATGCTACACACACACACCCTTCAGTGACCCAGCCTTAGGTATGCCATTACAGTAGCAGAAGTCTGACTACCACATAGTAAGCTGTAAACACCTTATCCATTTGCTACATGGCATTTATGTTCATAAGGAATTCAAATATAAAGAAAGCCCAACTACTTGACGAGGAAAGGCTCTGTGCGCTGGCACTGAGGAATTCTGGGTACCTTCACAGTTCTTCTCATCAGATGTATCTTGGCAGTTTGCATCTCCGTTGCACCGAAGGGCACCATCGATACACTGCCCACTGGCACACTGGAACTGGGACTCGGAGCACACAGGACAGTTGAGCTCATCACTGTGGTCCTCACACTCAGTGAAGCCGTCACAGCGCCACGCCACAGGGATACAGTCGATCTCCCCGGTGAAGCAGGTGAAGTGCTGAGGAGAACATGTGGGAGGTTCTTCAAATGGACAGGGAGGGAGTGACAAAACACAACACTGGTCACACAGAGGTAGCAACGTCCGCTCCAGAGCACTGCACATCTGATAACATTTATATGCTTTACAACACACGTCTAACTAGTACTTCCTATCAAACTATGACTCACGTTTTCTCACATTGTAATTCAAGTAGGATTTTATCTGCAAGCTGTTACAATCTCACAAATAATCTGCAATAATCACTGTGGTCAGCAAACTCCATGTATTTTAAGGCCAGACTAGAATCCAGGCTTCCTATGAATAACCATCTCCTAGGGTTCTGACGCTGCTTTTCGATTGATCCACAGCTCAGAACTGTTTTAACAATTATTCTAAGATGTCATTTTCACTACCTTTGCACTGATAAACAAAAGGAGTGGTGGGTAAGACTTACTGGCACCTGATGAGAATAAACAGAATCAGGCAGGATCACACTCCACACAGCTACACACTCACAGCTTGGAGATACATGAAGGCCAGTTTCTCCAGATGAATTAGTTCTATGAACTGTATTATGAATATATTAAAATCAGCTCCTGACCCTACATCCCTCTGGCATGAAGCTCATATTGTACAACTAAAACTGACAGTCTCTAAGAGAAAAGCCATTCAAACAATGTCATTGTTTTACAAATGAGGACGAAGGCTTGGAGAGGCTGACCCAGTACCCAAGGACACACAACCTCCTATAAATACCTGATAGCTAAAAAAGAAAAAGTCATCAGTAGCTCAGATCTATAATCCTAGTCACTAGGGGAATCAGAGGATAACGGTTCAAAACCCAGGCAGAAAAGTCCTCAAGACTCAATCTCTAAAATAATCAACAAAAAGCCAGGCTAAAAATGTAGTTCAAGTGGGAAGAATGCCAACAAAGCAAGCAAGCAAGAAGCCCTGAATCCAAACCCCAGCAAAGGCAAACAACAACAACAACAAAAACAGAACTAGAAGGACATCTCTTTAAAGTCTGTCCTATTTACTACTGTCATAGTTTCTTTAAAAACTTATGCTAATCAGGCACTGGTGGCTCATGCCTATAATCCTAGCTATTCAAGAGGCTGAAATCTGAGGATTATGGTTCAAAGCCAGCCCCAGACAGGAAAGGCCATGAGACTCTTTATCTCCAATGAACCACCAGAAAACCGGAAGTGGCACTATGGCTCAAAGAGGCAGAGTGCTCATCTTTAGAGAAAAAGCTCAGGGACAGTACCGAGTTCAAGCCCCACAACCAACCAAAAAATAAAATAAAATAAAAAGAGTGGGGGTGGGGGAGGCGCCGGGGACCTGGGCAATAAAAGACTCCATTAATAGGAAAAAAAAAAAAAAAGGTTCAATCACCTCCTCCTAACTCCATAATTGGGTGGCCAAGCTGAAGCCTCTGTGAACATTAAGACTCAAATGTTGTACAACAACAAAAAAAATCAAAACAATCTTTTGTCACCTAAACCAAAAACATTTGTGTATCAGTCTCATTAATAACTGTAGGTATAAAGTCAATTCTTGTATTCAGTGATTTTTTCAAACAACAGAGTGGGGTTAACCTGGTGCAGGGCACTGCCATACTGTGTTTCAGTCCACCGTGATAAAATCATTTCACCACAAAGCGATCACCTGAGATGCTGCTTCAAAAGTAATTTATTCTTGGTAGATAAGTAATAAAAAAGAGCAGGAAACCTCAGTGGACACAATTCCAACAATGATACCCACTGACAAGCAATGAGAATTCAGTGGATAGAGCTCAGAAGAGATGGAAGAACTTTTTTCATCTTGCCTGCCTAACATGTTACTAGGAAACAAGTCATTCATAAGCTGAAAATATGATGATGCATATATAGTGAAATAATATTTGGCTTTTAAAAAAAAGGAAATCCTAATGTCCAAAACAAGTGATAATATTATGTTAAATGAAATAAGCAAGGTACAGGAGGACAAACACCCTAAGACCTCACTCATATGCAGGGACCTCACAGAAACAGATGGAAATAGCAATTATGAGAGGATTGGGGAGCGGGGGGAAAGGAGTAACTCACAGGCACCACACAGTGAAGGACCAACCCAGTTAGAAGAATGTGCAACTTCACCTCTACCCACCTCCAGGCTAGACAGAGAATATGGCGGCACTTGTATCTGCACAAGAAAGTCACAGCACATTTACCTCCACAGGAGAGCTCATCCTGAAGCAGAACCAGGTGCATGGGACAGGAGCACCTTGTAGTTCCATCCCCTTTCACGAGACAGATGTGCGAACAGCCACCATTATCCTGAGCACATGGGTGCTGTCCTGGAAAATAAGTGATGCATGAAACAAAAGAAAACCAGTGTAAAAATCCATCCCAACTTTAGTTCAATATAGTTCCTTACTCTGTCCCCATACAGACCATAAGAAAATATCTATGTTTGATCTATTATTACACACATGCACATGCATGCACACATGCATGCACGTGCACTGTCATCAGCATCCTACCAGAGTCACACTACGGTGCCTAGGCTGGTCCCACATCCTAAGGCTCAAGTGATCCTCCTGCCTCAGCCTCCTGTGTGCTGGGCCAGGGGCATAGGCAACACCATGCTCAGGTCTGTCCTTTAAAGCATTAACAGGTATCTTAAGCAAGTTAATGCAAAATATTGTAATCATACCCAAAAATATTTTAACACCATAGGCTCATGTTAATGATGTAAATAAAGTAAGTTGATGAACAGAACTAGGAAAAAGACCAGGGAGACAGCTAAGACCTAGATATTAGTCTATTTGCACAGTAAGGACTCTCCAAGATTTGAACTCAAAAACTTTGTAGAAGTCTAATCTCCTACAAAGGCTATTCCACTGAAAAGTATATTTTAATGAGGAATCTGTGGAAAATAAAACTTATCTGAAGAAAAAATTTACGGTTACTTGGAACTGAACCATTCAGAAGGAAACAAAGTTGCAAAAAGTAATGTGCAACATTACTATTATTATTTCATTGAATTTGGGCTAAGTTAAAGAAACAAACCATTTGACAAAGTCTGTTTCACATATTGAATTTTTATTTGATTCTGCATTGCTGTGTTGACTGGTTTGAATCCAAAGACAACACTCCTGGATTAGAAGATACAAGCTGCAGCAGTGTTTCTCAACCCTTTAATTTCATGATACTTTTCATTAAAAAAAAAAATCCTTTTTTTTTGGTCAGGGGCACTGTCCCTGAACTCTTTACCTCAAGGCTGGTGCTATACCACTTGAGCCATAGTGCCACTTCTGATTTTTCTGGTGGTTAATTAAAGATAAGAGTCTTACAGGTGTTACTGCCCATGATGGCTTTGAACCATGATCCTCAGATCTCCTGAGTAGCTAGGATGTCAGGCGTGAGCCACTAACTCCCAGCCCTTATTACTACAAATTTCAGAAAGTTTTCCCAAGCACAAGCATCCACAAGTCAGGTAACTTAGGTAGGTACCATGTTATTATCTAATTTATATTAAATATCCAGCCTCAGTTATTATATGTTATGAAATAACAAACTCCAACTTTGTAATCCCAAATGCCGCTGACTTAATTCATGGACTGTGGCAACGATGGACAAGTAAGCTGGACGCAGTGCCACTCTGGCTCCTGTATCTCCCTTTCACAGACGTGGATTCCACAAGCAAGCACTGAGCTGGCAAGGCAAGGAGCTGGAATAGTCTCCTAGTTCTTTTTTTTTTTTGGGGGGGGGGGGGGCCGGTCGCGGGGCCTGAACTCTGGGCCTGGCCGCTGTCCCTCAGCTCTTCAGCTCAAGGCTAGCGCTCTACCACTTGAGCCACAGCACCACTTCCGGCTTTTTGTCTTTTTTGCTTATGTGGTGCTGAGGAATCGAACCCAGGGCCTCAGGCATGCAAGGCAAGCGCTTTACCACTGAGTCAACTTCCCAGCCCCGTCTCCTAGTTCTCCAGTAACATTAGCCCTGCTGACATTAACAAGGCCTACAGAAGTGACTGTGGTTGGGTCTACACATTAGATACAAGTATTAACAAGAAAAGAAGCCAAGAAGATCAAGCATTTTCAAAAGTGTTATATATATTTTGTGTGTGTGTGTGTGTGTGTGTGTGTGTGTGTGTGTGTGTGTGTGTGTGTGTGTGTGTGTGTGTGTGTGTGTGTGTGTGTGTGTGTGTGTGTGTGTGTGTGTGTGGCTACTTATCTAAGTTTGAAACTGAAAATTTTATCTAAGGGAAAGAATAAGGACTTTCTGACTCAATTCTTCCCTCATGTGTAAACATTAATTTTTAGTTTGTTTTGCTTTTGTTTAAGGTTATAGTTAACCCATGATAAATATACTCATCATGGCATAGAATGTCATTTTTCCTTTTGTTTAAACTCTAGGGACATAAGGGAAAAGAGAAAGACCAGTGTCTTGGAGAAGACAGGGAAAAAGCTTCACTTTCCCTAGCTGAGCAATTTGACTCTTGGTAGTGCTGGGAGCAGAACTACTGACAAACTACACCCTCACACCAACAATTTTTAAAATCAAAAAAGGCCACACCTTTCCCTCTTACTGAGTTTTTTGGGTTGTGTGCACCAGTCCTGGGGCTTTGTTCACCTAGTAACTCTACCCTTTGAGTCACAGGTCTTACAAACTTTCCTGCCCAGGCTGGTTTCATACCCTAATCTTCATATCACAGCCTCCTGAGTAGCTAGGATTACAGGCGTGAGCCACTGGTACCCCAGCTCCCTCATGCCTGGTTTAAGGGGAGATGCTTAACTAGATAGAAAAAGCTCTAAAGTTCAAAACAATGACAAAACTGATAGCATATCAGTAATTCCCCAAAGACAGAAAGAGTGAGGAAACCACAGACTCAAGCGCAGAGGTGCCGGGAGTGTGGTCCGTGGCACTTACTGTACTCCTGAAGGTTGAGCTCCTTCACAGCGTGAATGGCACTGAGCTGGGCAATCCGAGCCTGGACCTTGGTCCTGCCCTCCCGACCAGTCATGTCAATTTTTTCAATCATTTGCTGCTGCTTATCGATCCAATAAAGCCAGTTTTCAAACACGGTCAGTCCCACAGGCTGCAAGATATTGGAGTCTTCTAACACTATCCTGTTGGCACCTTGGAAAGGAGAGCATTCGACAGCCATCACTCACTGTTGCCCTTTCACCCAGGGCCCGCCACCCTTGCTATGATTGGCAGGCCCCACCACCTTTCCCACAACCATTCAGCCCGGGAAGACCAGCTTTGTTCTGCAGAAATGAAAGTACACGTTCTTTATCTCAACACAGTACTGAAGGAGGGTGATAATGTCAGAAAACAGAATAAACCAGACATTCAAGTGTGACCAAGAGTGAACAGATGCCCATACACAGCAAATACTCGAGCTCACGGAGTGAGGGAGTCACTAAGTGTTATGAGAATTCTTGCATAAAGCAGATGAAAGCGCTCTCCAGATGAAGCAGCAGGGAACACGACCTGGACCCCATTGCTGCAAGCCTGTGAGCTGTCCAAGGAGAACAAGTTCACCCTCACCCCGCCTGGCTTCACAGAACACAGAGCAATCTACGGAACTGTAGGTCTTTAGTCAGGAATCATGTCTGCCAAACACACGCAGAGATATGCAGTCTCCTGACAGGCAGCCTGTTCTACTGCTGAACGGGTAAGGTCCTTCACACCCCTGTACTTTACTCACAGATTCCTTTCCCTCATTCAAAAAGAAAATGAGCTGCTTATTCCCTCCCTAACTTCCTAACAGTCTCTGAATACTTCAGAACACTTCCAGGATTTCTAAATAAATCAAAGATATTAGCTTACAGTTTAGGAATTCAAGGAGCATTCCAAAGCAGGTCTAATGCTGCTTTAATAAACAGGGAAACTATTCCACAGACTCAGTCCCTGTCCACGAGAGATGAAGAGCAAGTACAGGAGTGCTCCCTTCTAAATACTGAAATGCCCGTGGTGAAAACACAGGTCCAGTACAACCCCAGACGACAAAGCAGCGGGAGGGACGGAGTATCTGCAGGTTAGACAGAAGCTTCTGGCTGACAACACAGTAACCCATGGAACACTAGGCCAGAGCTGCTCAGGTCCTCTGAGTCAGGGAGCACCGAGCACCTGAGTGTAGGTCAGAAGGAGTGGGCAGTCGCAGAGGCAGTATGTCACCGACATGGCTGCTCCATGTCCTCCCTGACCCAGGCCTGAGCCCATCAGGAAAAGTCAAGGCAGGAAGGTGTCAGTGGGAATTACTTAAAAGTCCCACCTTCTACATACCCCCCATACCATTTAAGATCTCCAGCTAAGCCACATCTGTCCTAATATAAGGGTGGGGTTTCTGAACAAACTGAAACAACTCTGAAAACAGAAAATCCTTGGAAGAAAAAGAAAAGGAACATCAGGGGGATGACCTTCGAGTCCCACCCAACACTGGAGAAGTCCCCTGCATCACGGTGGCTGTACCTCGGTTGCTTCAGTGCTGCATGCTACACTGCCCACTAGGGACCACCATTTTTTAGTCTCTACATTTAAGTATGGAGAAAACGATACAATATTAGACAAATACTGCAACATGTGTGTGAGTGCGCATATTTGTATTTAGACCTGAATCTAAATCTAGATCAAGATCTATTATATAGAATGCCACTACTAGTTTTAGGTCACAGAAAAACATTCAGACATGTATGTATCCTTATGCAGATGTAACTCTTAAGTTTTAAAAATCATCCTCCTACATCTAATTCTCTTGAATGGTGCTGGTATTCTGCACACTGATAATAGACTATTACTTCACAAAGTATATTCATAGCTTCACAACTATCTACCCTGTACCCGTGTTACTGTTTCTAAGACAGACACCAAATCAAAGAAATGCCTGTTTACATTTTGGTCACTACTGGCAAACTGCCCTCTATAAACGTTTTACCAATTTCCACTTCTGCCAAAGTACATGAAAATGTATCACATTCTACCATCCGGCCAGTGTAGAGTATAATTGGCTTTAATATACTTTTTGCCACTCCACCAAATACAAACAGTGCATTATTTTAACTTCATTTCCCCTGTCATACAGAGTATTTGGACATCAGAGACTAAGGAAGGGGCAACAGCTATGATCACAGGCGGAGGACTACAGAGAAATAAGCAAATGTGAATAAAACACCAGGAGTGTAAGGGGCGTAGTGGGTTTGTGAAAGGTGAGTGAAGTACACAACCACACCATTTCCCTGTAGGTACAGATACTTTTAAAAGACTCTGTAGGAAAAGCAGTGCTACTGGATGTCATGGTCAGGAAAGTGTCTACAGTGTGTAAACCGTGTTGTTTGTTAAGAGTGGCTATTTGTAAATGTCCAGAAGGAGTAATAATCAAGGTACAGAATCACAAGCGAGGATTTGGGCCACATGAGTAGACTGGAAGTACGTTGTTTACAGGTCTTGAAAACTGGGAAATGACTTGATGACAGAGGAAGTAATAGTGCTGACTGCTGAAGAAAAGGCTCTTCTCCAACTAACTTGTCACTATATTTAATATAGAATAATCCAAGACAAGAAGCATACACATGGTTTTGAGGAGCTACCGCACGACCTCCATCAAGGCACGGGCAACACTTGCTGGGTACCTGAGAGATCGCTGCTTTCAATTCTCCGGAGATCTGAATCAGCCCAGAAGAGCTTGCCCAACCTGCTATCGAGAGCCAATGCCACTGGTTTACTCAAGCCACTGAAGAAGAGAACCTCCCGCTCCGTCCCATCCAAAGCAGCCCGTTCGATTTTGGGGGATCTTTCCTGAAGATTGGTAAAATACATATACCTGAAGAGATAGGAGAGAACAATGTTACCAACATGAAAAGGCCACACAGCACATTTTTTAAGGAGGCAGGGTAGGGATGCAGATCTGTGGCACAGCACTTGCTTAGCATGCCGGAGACCTGGGGTTTGATGCTAGCAACACTGCCAATGAAAAAAAAACAGAGAGGTAAAATAGTACTTTAAAACCTAACTTTTGGTTTTTGTTGTTCTTTTCCCTGAGACAATCTATGTAGCTCTGACTCCTCAAATGGACAATCCTCCAGCCTCAGCCCCAACCCAGAGTGTTGCAATTACAGAAGTGTAAATTTACTTTTTAACTGATACCTAAACCACAAAAAGGGTCATGTTTTGACACATGTATTCATGGCCGATCAGGTTAAACATACCTCCTCAAGCACATGTCACCAGTATGGCAAGAGCATTCAAAGTCCTTTCTTTAGCACTCTGGAACACAGACTACACATTGCCACCTCTAGTCACTACACTGTTCAAGTGCAGACCTGAACTCCAACTCTGTACCTACTGATCAACTTTTTGTAAAAAGGCTACAGAGGGCCAGGCATGGTGCCTGAAACCTGTATTCCAACTACCCAGGAGACATAGATCAGGAAGATCAGGGTTTGAGGCCACCCTGAGCAAAAAGATCCCATCCTAACTGATAAGCAGAGTGTGATGGCACACACCCCTGATGCCATCTACACAGGAAATCATAGATAAGAGGAGCATGGTCTGAGGCCAGGTGGGTCAAAGACTCCAGACCCTAAAACCTAACTGAAGCAAAAAGGGTGAGAGGAGTGGCTCAAGTGGAGGAGTGCCTGCCTCGACAAGCATGAGGTCAAGGGATACATCCACCACTTTCAATAAAAGTAACGAAGGGCTCACACAGTCCTCGGGATGCCCAGTCTCATGGATTAACGTAACAGTGCAAGACACAGGCATGACAACTGCAGAATAATGTGGCCAGAATGTCTTGAACACAAAATTTCAAGCTCTCTCTTAGCTGACAGGTGCAACAACTAAAAATAAGTCACAGGTATCTTACAGTTGTAGGTTTCAACCCTTTCCTCTAACTCCTCTGAAGTAAGATGCGTTCCTGCTGAAGTCCTTACCCAGATGTGAGAGAGTACTGAATGTTTATGAAGTGCAAAGCTCTGAGTTAAATGAAGGAAGAGCTGTTCCTTCTTCATAAGAGGACCTGAGGCCTACTTAAGAATACACAAGTGGCAAACAGCTAAGCCTAAGGTTGACTGGGAAGAACGATGCCGGGCTAGTGAGGCACACACAGAGCCCACGTGGCAAGGGCAGGGGAGCAAGGAAAACATCATGGGGGATGTGGCAGCAAAACTTACTTCACGTGGGAAGAAACCTGAGGCAGGGAGAAGAAAGGACACTCAAGAAAGCCATGAGAGGGGACGGGGGCGGAGAACATTGAGGGGTCCCTGGCTCACAGGACACTTATAGGGACTGGCTGATGCAGACATGTCCAAATGCCGCTCCGGTAACATACCCTTTCTCTGGGTTCACCACAATGGCTCGAGGTCTGTCTTGCTCGCCCTTCAGCACCACTCCGATTGACCTCCCATCTAGCCTTGTCACAGTGATGACATTGGCAGCCTCGCAAGTCCAGTAGATATAGCGGCTGTAAATATCAATGCTGAGGTCATAGGGCTGTATTTCTAGGTTCTGACTGGAAACGGAGCTCACAACCACAGTGAAGCCCTAAGGAAAGAAACAGACACACACAGGTAGCAAAGTTAGACTCCACATCGGACAGTCTTGCCGTGGCTACTCCCAGTGCTTTTACCTGTGAGGGATTCCCATTCCTTTTTTCCTTTTGGCCAGTCCTGGGGCTTGAGCTCAGAGCCTGGGCACTGTCCCTGAACTTTTTTGCTTATAGCTAGCACTCTACCCCTTGAGTCACAACTCCACTTCCAGCTTTTGGGGGGTTAATTGGAGATAAGCACCTCATAAGGCTTTGCAGCCTGGGCTGGCTCTGAACCACAATCCTCTTGAGTAAGCTAGGATTACAGCTGTGAGCCACCAGTAGCCAGTCATCCTGGATGTTTTTTAATTTTACTGAGATTGTTAGGTTGATTTTCGAATCTTTTAAGTAATAAACAAATAGTTATGTAACTGTTGTTTATAAAGTCCCTTCTGCATTCCTTAAAGCTAAAGGCTCATAAGAACAGGGATCAGAACAAAGGCCCACCTGACTTCAAAACTTCTAACTCTGGAAAGACCAGTGACAGGGATGAACTCATCCACACACAAGCCCAAACCACCCCCCTACCATTTCCACCCCAACCCCATCATCACACAGTTCCTCTCAAGTAAAAAGTTACCCATTCTGGGGCTGGGAAGTTGGCTCAGTGGCAGAGCGCTTGCCTCGCATGCCTGAGGCCCTGGGTTCAATTCCTCAGCACCACATAAGCAAAAAGAAAAAAGCCAGAAGTGGTGCTGTGGCTCAAGTGGTAGAGCGCTAGCCTTGAGCTGAAAAGCTGAGGGACAGCGCCCAGGTCCAGAGTTCAGGCCCCACGACTGGACCCAAAAAAAAAAAAAAAAAAGTTACCCGTTCTGGGGTTTCAGTTAGCATCCACAGACACACAGACACACACTGCGTTAAATGAAACAGCATAGCAACTAGTAGAAGATAAGAACATTACCTGGCTGCCATCTTCTTGTGCCTTTCGGATCACGTTTTGCCGCGAGTCAATCCAATAGAGCTGTTTGTCCAGCGGGTCGTAGTCTATGGCCCGGACGTTGCGAAGGCTGTGGATAGGGAGGATGATGTCAGGACTCTGCTGTTCATCGATCACCATGCGGTTGATGGCGCTCTTTTGACTGAAGAGCAGGAAAGTGGTGGGAGCTTAGAAGGAAAGAGGAGACTTTGAGACAGAGTGACTAAGTCTTGCAGCACTCTTTCAAGACTGGATCCGCCTGCATGCAGTAGGTACTTCACAAAACAAACACAGCCAGGCTCAGGGCAGAACCCTTTGGCATGCCTCTGAGAACTCTCTACAGAGTGGCACTAAAGAGTATGCCATTTGCCAACCCAGTTATAAATTCACCCCATGGCACAGCTAGCCTACTTATGTTCACCTTGCAGTGTAACACGGTAGATGTGATTTCAGTGAAGGATTTTATAAAAACATATAAAAGACCCTATTTTACCTTATGTACATATGGTGGTTGCAATCAGGAAGAAGGTAAAAATCAACTCCTAACAGATGCAGAAAATCTGGACACTGGTGGCTCATAACTGTAATCCTAGCTACTCAGGAGGCTGAGCTCTGAGATCACAGTTGGAAGCCAGCCTGGACAGGAAAAGTCCATGACACTCTTACCTCCAATGAACCACCAGAAAAATGGAAGTAGCTCTGTGGCTCAAGTGGTAGAGCACTAGCCTTGAGCTGAAGAGCTCAGGGACAGCGCCCAGGCCCTGAGTTCAAGCCCAAAGACTGGCACAAAAAAGAAAATCTTTCTGGGTGCCAGTTGCTCATGCCTGTAATCCTACTCAGGAGACTGAGACCTGAAGATCGCTGTTCGAAGCCACCCCAGGCAGGGACGTCTGTGAGACTCTTATCTCCAATAAATTACTCAAAAAAGGCTGGAAGTGGTACGGTGGCTCAAGTGGTAGAGCACTAACCTTGAGCACAAAGACTCAGGGATAGTACCCAGGCCCTGAGTTCAAGCCCCACAATGAGCAAAAAAAAAAAAAATTATTTCTGGAATTTTCCACTTAATATGAAGGTTGACTGCAGGTCACTGGAAACCACAGAAAGCAAAATAGCCAATAAGGGAAACTACTGTCTACGTCTTAAATTCCATAATTATACGCTATTTCCCTTGGTACTCCGTCATTAAATCCAGCACAATCATGTCTTTCTCGGGAACAGAAATATAAATAGCCAAGCCCGAACTCTCTGCCTTCATCAGAGCCCCACTCCTGCAGTCCCTGGGTTTTATACGTTTTACACTCAGCTGCATATTGGCTCACGTTCTAAAGGAACTCACTGGCATGCACCAAGAAGCTTGGGACTTCAAGTTATTCTTAGAAATCCAGAGTGGAGCATTTAAAAAGAATCTAATGATTTGCTAGAAACCTCTATCGATTTTCTTGAAGAATTTTATTTTGACTACTATTTTTCTGAGTAAAATTTTAAAAATAAAGAAGACTAATTTGTATGTTTCCGACATAATAGGCACCACTTATCCATACTAAGACATACAGTGAGATAAGAAGACCCTGAATTTTTAGTTCTCAAGTTTTCCTGTCTAGGGTTCAATTAATTGAATACATAGTGGGCTCTCAATATATTTTACTGGATATTTTTTTCTAAGTCAGGCTTGAACCTTTAATGAGACTCCACAGCTGGGTAAAAATCTTTTTTTTTTTTTTTTTTAATGTGTATTAAGATTAAAACCAAGACTTGGGGCACAGTGTCCCAGGATGTCCCAGGCAGGAGGATGACTGAGCTCAGAAACAGCATCACCTATTGGTGGATGGATGGAAACAAACGTAGCTCCAAATAAATGCTTGTTTCAAATCTACTGAAGGTATTAGTAACTACAAATGGCTCAGTATTTCTGAGGAAAGTAAGAGTTTATTTACGGTCAGTGCTAAACCTGACACAGTATGTCTGAATCTACACTATCTATTTCAAACAACTCCCTCCCACAGGTGCTGCAAAATGATGTTGGCAGCTATCTGCATATTGCCTTCTCCCAACGAAGACGTGGCATGCAGAGGCTGGAGGGGTACAGCGGAGGAAGCTGTCCCGTCATCTTTAGAAGGCAGCTGTGTTAAAAGGAAGGTGCTGCTCTTGGGCAAGAATGAAGTGAGCTATAAGACCAAGCCAAGCCCAGCAGGCACCACAGTGCACTGAGCATGGGCTGGAGTATAGCCCACTCTTCATTAGCCAAACCACGCAACTTCCTGATGAAACATCTCCCTTGGGAGCCACCTCAGAAGACACACCTTCCCCCCACTCCCTTAATACATTAGCACAACTATGTTACTATGTCCGCCTTGAATATTCTCATCTCTAGATTTGTTTTTAATCATGTCTGCTAATTTGTCTTGTCTCTCCACTAGGACACAGGCCCTCATGTAAACATTGGTCATGGCCCCTATCTCCCCAGCAACCATGTTGCTGGCCTTGTTAACAGTGTTTATGTTTAATGCAAATTATTTTCTACATTTGACCTGAAAGCTATTGTATACCCACCCTTCCCTACAGCTCCAAAATCTGGATTCACCACTGGATGGGCAGATCTGCTAACAGAACTGGCAGAGACTAGCACATGCGCACTGGGTTTACAGCATGTGTACTCCACTTCCCCGTCTAGTTCTGAGTTAGACATCCTCCTTTGTGTGCCCTGTCTGGCCTCATATGCCAGGTGTGGCACTCATACCAAAATAACTTGTTCTATCTGGCTTGGCCTGTGCATTTCAAAACACAGGAGATTATGTTTTGGATTTTCCTTAATGTACTATCTATACTGCTCTTTCCTTCCTTCATTGTAACTAAGAATTATGTAAAAAACAAACAAACAAACACCAGTCATTCTTTTCTGTGACACTGTCTGGCTTGCCCTAAGGTAAAAGATTTAAATTTCTGTAGCATCAAGTTGTTATCTAAAGTGACAAAAATTAGCATCTCTCCCTTTGGTCCTCTCCTTTTAGATATTCTCCTTTTTAAACAATTGGCACTAGACTTCCACAACTTTTCACTCTGGAAAACCTGGACTGTAGCATGTAAAATGAGGCTTGCTCTTCTCATGTAACCTTAGCGGGGGCAGAGGGGACATGCAGCTCACCGCTACAAGTCCTGTTGTCAGCATTCAGGGAGTAGTGGGCAGGGCACCCACAGACGAACCCCCCAACGGGCACAGCCAGGCAGAGGTGGGAGCAGTGCCCGTTGCTGGAGGCACACTCATTCCAGCCTGCCTGCCGAGAGGAGTGGAAGACGAGGATGTCCATCACATAGTCCAAATGGCCCTGAATGATGGTGCGGTTTTGGCCACTTGTTTTATTGGCACGCTCAATGCTGCGCCGGCTCCAGTCCGTCCAGTAGATATAATCTTGGTACTGAGTTAAGCCAAAAGGATGAGGCAAGTCATCTGCTATCACTTCCCGATTGAGTCCTAGTTTCAAAGTCAGCAGAGAAGCAGGGGGTGAAATGTGTGAAGACACAGTGTCTTAACAGAAAGCATTACATCTGCAACTGATTTAAAATAGAACAATTCATTTCAAAACAATTCTAATACCAGACCAGTCCTAGGAAACTACTCCTGCACTTCCCACTAGAAATCACTGCTGCTGCTTCCAACTCCCATGAATGATCTGAGGCTGTATTTTCACTTCTTATCGGCCTGTATGTCAGCATTTGCTCCTCCCACAAAGAGAAATACCTACGGAACCACAGTATTACAAACAAGGATGAGATTTTCTTCATACTAAATAGACATGACTCAAAGTAACTAGACTGTTGTTAGTAATAATAAGGGTACACTGAGAAAAGGGAAGGTGTCGCTCACGGAATCTTTTCCATGGTGAATAGCAGCCATGACTTCTGTATGAAGAGCACGCACTGTGAGCAGAGCAGCAGAGCTTACCTAGCATATTTGAAGACTCTATTAAGTTGGTGTCCAAGTCTGTCCAGTAAAGCCGTCTCTTGGCATAATCGATGGTCAGACCATTTGCTCGACCCACGTTAGGAACCAATGTGGTTCGCTCACCTCCATCCATGGCGGCTCTGTCTATCTTAGGCTTTCCGCCCCATTCAGTCCAGTACATAAATCTGAGGAATTAACAATGGAAATGTTCCGTAAACATTCCACTTCGATAGGCCCACACTCATGAAAAGTAACTAAAAATACATATGGTAAACCAAGCAAATGGGGAAAACAAACGGGGCTGTAATTCTTCAATTACTCTGTCACTTTCAGCTAAACCTATTTTCACACATCTTAGAAAAGGATATGAGTTAGCTCTCAGCCTTTCTAATGAATTTGTTCCATTCAAACCTAGGAACTGGACACAAACCAATTATTTCATTATTGTGCACGAGCATTTATGAAACTATTATTCAAGATAATAGCAAAGGATCAAGTCCTGGTGCACGAATCTGAACACAGCAACTTAAATATCTAAAATACTGGACTTACTTTCAGCTTGTGTAATCAAAACAAGCTGCAAGAGCATACCACATGCAAAAGCAGCAATGGCCTGAAGTTGATGTCAGAAGCAAAGCCCAAACAGTCCATGGGAACATACTGCAACACTAAGAGGTGGATGCAAGAATGCCCTGCACTAGTAAGAGTGCACTGCACCGGTACAAGCGGTCCATGGGAGCATAATGCACCAGTAAGAACCAACTGTGGGAATGGACTGCACCAGTAAGAGTGGTCCATGGGAGCCACTGCACCAGTAAGAACCATCCGTGGGAATGCACTGCACAGGTAAGAGCAGTCCACGGGAGCACAGTGCACCAGTAAGAACCATCCGTGGGAATGCACTGCATGAGTAAGAGTGGTCCATGGGAGCCACTGCACCAGTAAGAACCGTCCGTGAGAATGCACTGCACAGGTAAGAGCGGTCCACGGGCGCACAGTGTACCATAAGAACCATCCATGGGAATGCACTGCACTGGTCAAATACAATGAGTCAGCTCCCTGCTAGGTCAGCAGGGCTATGAACATTACTAGCAGGTCCCTGTGGAATATAGCACTGAGGAACCCCACACCCTGGCATTGTAGAGATGGGGAGGCTAAAGTACTAAAGAAATGGGAAGGATTTGTCCTGTGTTTCAAAGCCAATTCCATGACTTGAACCTAGTCCTTGAGCCAAATGCCTTTCAACTCAGCTCGTAAGGGGCTAGTTTCAAAGACAGGGCCAGAAACACCACGGACAGACATTCACGTGCTACTGGGCCACTGATGGCGGGCACGGCAGCAATGTATGAACAAGCTTTCCTAAAAATGAAAGCCATTCTAGGCTCTGCTTACAATGCACTTGTCAGCTGACAAGCATGTGCACACAGAAGAGAACAACTGTGAGAGAAGTTTTACACTTGCCAGCAGCAACTTACACTAGAATCCTTAGTGAGAACTAAGGGCTTCTAAATTTATCTAATGAGTGCTGGAGCCCTCAGTGAGAACTCCGGACTTCTAAATTTATCTGACTGGCCACTAATGCTCAGAGAAAATACTACCATAATCTCACCACAATGTCAAAGCAGAGAAGCTGTCTTTGATAGCCTTCCAACTAGATGGCTAAGTAGCTAATCATGGGGTCACTGTGGTAACTTCATGGAACCCTTTCTAAGTACAGAGGCAGCAGTATTGCTATGTTCACAATGCTGACTTCTCCTAAAAGTTTTCCTTCATAGCTCAGATGTCTTCATTGCTGTCTGAAACCTGCTGGCTTCTCTAAGGACCACCCACCCACCTTGAAAAACAAGTCATGTAACTAACTCCATTTGCTTTCTGTGCCATCATGATAAACTTAACAGCCCAGCTTGGCTTAATGTATATTGTAAAATGGGGCTTCTCTGTGCAAGGCCCTGGCCTGGGCTCAATTCTCAACACGTAAATACTGAGTTGATAAGTAGTGGAGCTTTGGGCAATGTGTAGCCATCTCCCTTTACCACCCCCAGTAGACCCAGGACAGTAACTCTACCTGTTCTGTTTCTTCCTATACCCACCTATGATATGGTATAACTTATCAACTTGACCCAGTTAAGGGCAAAAGTGAGTAGTAAATTTGAAAAAAATCTAATAATAAGCTTTTATAAAAACTATTTAAGTTGTATGAATTCTTTTTTTCTGGGATTTTTCATGTACTCTTTCTGGATGCTGGGACCTGACACTGTGGGAAAGACTGCTGCTGTTTCTGAGCATTCACTGTTTTTGTGGGTTTACTACAACCATTTGGAACCTAGCATGGCGTTGCGCAAGCAAGTGCAGGTTGATGACACTCAGAATGCACAAAGAAAGCCGCCCACCCTTCTGCAGGATCCAAGGCCAGAGCTCTGGGGCTGTCCAGGTCTTTCCACACCAGAACCTGTCGGTGCTGCCCGTCCAACTTGGACACCTCGATTCGATTGGTCCCCGTGTCTGCCCAGTACAGGTTCTTCCCCAGCCAGTCCACCGCCATGCCTTCTGGGTAGTCCAAGCCAAACTCCACCACGTGCTCCAGTGCACTGCCATTCATAAAGGCCCTGCTGATGGTCTGCAGAAGCACAAAACACAGAATGATGGCCCTCACTAGTTAATGTTGGGGACAAGTGTTTAGTGGCAAAACTTTACACACCAACAAAATTCACAGGCAAAGTTTTCAAGAGCAGAAAAACCATTGGTATCAATCTCTAATAAGTGCAAATGTGAGTCCACTGCCACTTTGAAAAGTTGGAACTGCTGAAGAATCAGAATTGCTCCACTGGGTGGGAGATGTGGTGGCACCTCCTATAATCCCTGTGACTCAGGAGGCAGAGACCGGGAAGACTGCAGTTCAAGGCCAAGCTGCGCAAAAAGTCAGACCCTATCTCTAAAAAGTCAAGGGTGGTGGTTCACACCTGAGCCCACTTTCACCTGGGGTAGAAGTGAGAGGATATCTGAGAACAGGCTAGGCTGGAGTGTGAGACAATCGAAACAACGAACTAAAAGCAAGATCACTGGGGCATGGCTGGAGTGGCAGAACTCTTGCAAGTGGTAGGCCCTGAATACAGCTGCCAGGCCCAAGGAGTTTCCTCCCTCCATCCCCATACATACCTCAACATGTACTCTAGAGAGAAGAAAACAAAGGGATGCTTTAACTCATAATTTGCCGTTTTTTACCTCAGGCTTCTAATTTGTGTTTTAAATAATCAGGAGTCAAGTATCTTTAAGACATTTATCTGATAAAAATGTAGCTAAAGTTGGGCGCTGGTGGCTCATACCTACTCAGGAGGCTGAGATCTGAGGATCACAGTTTGAAGCCAGCCCAGAGAGGAAAGTCCATGAGACTCTTACCGCCAATAAGCACCACAAAAACCAAAAGTGAAAACCGAAAGACAGAGTTCAAACCCCAGGATCAGCACGCACACATGCACAGGCACACACAAACACAAAACACACTAGTTCAAGAAGTTCTCCCTTAGCCCAGCATTGGTGGCTCAAACTGAGATCTGAGGACCAAGGTTCAAAGCCAGCCCAGGCAGGAAAGTCTATAAGTTTCTTTTTATTTTATTTAATTTTTAAAATTTTTATTTTTTTAAAATTTTTATTTTTGTCGGTCATGGGGCTTGAACTCTAGGCCTGAACACTGTCCCTCAGCTCTTCAGCTCAAAGCACGCGCTCTACCACTTGAACACAGCACCACTTCCAGTTTTCTAAGTGGTTTATTGGAGATGAGTCTCACGGACTTTCCTGCGTGGGCTGGCTTTGAACTGTGATCCTCAGATCTCAGCCTCCTGCATAGCTAGGATTACAGGTGTGAGCCACCAGTGCCCAGCTTTATTTTTATTGTAAAGATACTGTACAGAGGGATAACAGTTACATGAGTAAGGTAATGAGTACATTTCTTGCTACTCCCTCCTTTGTTGTTCTCTCAAGTCTATAAGATTCTTATCTCCAATTAACCAGCAAAAAGCCAGAACTGGAGGTGTGGCTCAAGTGGTAAAGTGCCAGCTCTAAGTGAAAAAGCCAAGTAAGTACATAGGGCCCTGAGTTCAAGCCCTACAGTTGGCACAGGCATGTATGCACACACACGCACACACACGGAAGCTCTCCCTTCTAGTTCCTAAGGTCAATACTCCAAAATTCCCTTGCTTACCTTGAGTGATATATCAGTCCAATAAATGCGGTTGTCTGTCACATCAAAATCCAAAGCAGAGGCTTCCTTGACACCAGTGAGTGGAATGGCCACATTGTTATTGTTTGTTTCCAAAGAAATTCGTCTGATGTCTGCTCTCCTCGAAAACAGAAGAAAAGCCTCTGGGACAATGCAGGTCTTCATGTCACTGATGAGTTCAAAACCAATGGGGCAGGCACAGCGAAGGCCCTGGGGTCTGTACAGACAGAGATGGCTGCACCCTCCATTCCCCTCAGCACAAGGGTTGGAACCTAGAAGACACATTTGTTGTGAAGCACACAGAACAGGCTCACTGACACGACACAGCCCAATTTTAAGTCAATGCACACTTGAACAAAACCCCTTTGTACAACTAAAGATAACAAAAATTAAATCAAGGAATTAAAAAAAATCAGTACACATTTGGTTCACAAGGACTCACCTTGCTCTAATCGAGTTTCAAGTCTAACCAAATACCAAGATCCATAGGAAGTGGAAAGATGGCAAAATACTTTCCTTTATTCCCATAAGAAGCTTTACAATAAGATGTATCACTCATCCAATAGGATGAGGGGTGGCAAGGCCTGTGTTTGTGTATGTAACAACGCAAATTGTTCTAACAGAACAATCAAAGAATTAAAAGGCAGACCCTGGTGGCTCACACCCCTTAGCAGCTGAGATCTCAAGATCTTGCTTCAAAGTCAGCCCAGGCAAAGAAGTCCATGAGACTCTTATTTTCAATGAACCCACCAAAAAGCCGAAAGTAAAATTGTGGCTCAAGTGGTAGAACACTAGCCTTGAGCAAAAAAAAGATCAAGGACAGCACCTAGGTCCCCAGTACTGAGGGAGGGAGGGAGGGAGGGAGGGAGGGAGGGAGGGAGGGAGGGAGGGAGGGAGGGAGGAAAGAGTAAACATTTCTACACTGCTTCAAACATCAACAATTTCACTGGTGCTTTACAAACTACTCTTTGCCTCTGTTCAGGTTCCATTTTGAAGAGGTTTTGGAATGACTTACCAATGATCCGATGAACACTTGTGGCCTTTAGCCCCATTAAGTCAGGCAACTGATCTATGATGGTCTCCCGCTCTGCACTCCGCTTGTGCACTCTTTCGATGCTACGCCTCTGCCAGTCAGTCCAGTAAACATAGTCGCCCAGCAAAGTAAACCCAAATATGTGAGGAATTTTGTCTTCTACCAGTACTCGTCTTCCAGTGCCATCAGTGTTCATAACCTTCAAGTGTAGATTTGAAGAAGGAAAACAGTAAGTACTTAGCCTTCAAATGTATTTAAAAACAAATCCCAGTCATCTTAGGTTTTCCTATCACTTTCAGAAAATTACAACATGATTATTTACTGAGAATAATCTCAAATATCCAACATAAGCTTATACTTTTCATCTTCTCCTCTGATCTCTTATGATTCAACTCTAATATTCCTGGTAAATCTATTAATTGACTATGTCAAAATTCAAAATATCGGGCTGGGAAGGTGGCTCAGTGGTAGAGTGCTTGTCTTGCATGCATGAGGCCCTGGGTTCAATTCCCCAGGCACCACATAAGCAAAAAGAAAAAAAGCCGGAAGTGGCGCTGTGGCTAAAGTGGTAGAGCGCTAGCCTTGAGCTGAAGAATTGAGGGACAGCACCCAGACCCAGAGTTCAGGCCCCACGACTGGACCCAAAAACAAAACAAAAAAAAAATTCAAAATATCTTCACCTTAAGTTTGCAAATTTATTTTCAAACTGTAACATATTAAAAACTTTACCATATATCTTGTTTTTCAACCTATTTCATGTTATCCTGAGAGTTTTATTTCTGCCTTCTTAAACATAAGGAAACATTTTCCTACAAACACTCAACTCATAAACCACTGGATTTTTTTTAAAGAACTTTTTCCACTTAGCAGTCTTTTTATTTTTTGTTATTTTGATTAAAGCAGCCACCATTATCAAAAAACTATCAGATAAACACGATCTCAAAGCCAGGCATGGTGGTGCACACCTGTAATCCCAGCACTCAGAAGACGGTGGTTGGAAATCTTGAGCTCAAAGCAAGTTGTGTCTACATAGCAAGTTCTAGGCCAGCCTGAGATATACAGTGAAACTCTCTCAAATGATAAAAAGAGAGAAAGGAGGAGAGAAAAGAAAAGAAAAGAAAAGACTGCTCAAAAAATCAATTCTTTCATGTTATCATCTTAAGTTCAATAAGCAACTATTTTGGACAGGTTACAAGCTTTATAGAACTCCTTATGTTTAAAATAAAACACAGCAAAAGCTTGTCGGTACATTCTGAATCTAGAACAAGTGAAAAAAAAATACAGGCAATTCCAAATATTGCCCTTGTGCTTTAAAAGCTAAACCGACATGTTAATTACATCTGGCAACTCTTAAGAGTGCCTCACTGTATTACCTCAGAGTGGTTTAATTAAACTGAAATTAGGCTGCTGTCATTTCTAAAATCTCACTCAAGATCTGAACTAGAGTCTCCAGCGGTTTCAGCTGTCCTAACCACACTGTGGCCTTGGTTTATTATTCGGAAGCATTACCAGATCCTGTAAACCACACTGCGCATGTGGGCTACAGAGAGAAATAGACACAGGCGAGGAGCACCCTCTCTGCATGAGGGCCAGGGGATGGCATACTTTCTACAGACATTACAGCAGTTTCATCAGCTCATTAAATGTCAAGACAGGATTACCCATGAAACCTTGGAATGCAGCCAGTCTACTACCCAAATGGCTGCTATGCAACTTCACTTGACAAGACACGTTCAAGGAACAGATGACAACAGACATCCCAGCACCAATCATGAAGTGAGCTAGCAGTGCTACACTATCCCAGAAGGTGCACTTAAACCTCCAACAAAAGCCATGTGCTAGAGGCTCAAGCCTATAATCCTAGCTATAGCTAGCTAGCTAGATGGCTATAGGTATGCATGTGCACATTTATGTGTGTACATATGCGTGTGCATAAAAATGGTATTTTTAAAAACAGAGTAGGTGCGGCTGAGGCAGGAAAGTCAGCTGAACTGACAAGAATGAGGCGAGCGGAGGCACCACAGCAAGACCCCATCTTAATAGAACAACAAAAATAAAACCCAAGGAGCCTGGTGAACAGGAAAGTCTTTTGCTTTTATCAGTAAGACTAAAAAACTAGTGTGTGCGTGTGCGTGTGTGTGCGTGCATGTGTGTGTGTGTGTGCGTGCATGTGTGTGTGCGTGTGTGTGCATGTGTGTGTGTGCATGTGTGTGTGCATGCATGTGTGTGTGTGTGTGCGTGCATGTGTGTGTGTGTGTGTGCGTGCGTGTGTGTGCGTGCGTGTGTGTGTGTGTGTGTGTTACCAGGGAGGGAGTCAGAGCCTTGCTCAACTAGACAAGCACACTCTACTGAGCTCCATTCCCAGCCCTAAGTACAGCTTTTGGAATGGGCTTTCAGTTTATGTATGTACACAATGCTACGCAGATCAGCTGAGTATTATTTTCAGAGAGAAAAATAAAAGGAAACAAAGGCCAAAAGATAAATAAAACCCAAGCTGGGTGTTGGTGGTTCACACCTGCTACCCTAGCTACAGAGGAGGCTGAGATCTGAGGATCACGGTTCAAGGCCAGCCCAGGCAGCAAAGTCCATGAGACACCTCCAATGAACCACCAGAAAAAGTTGGAAGTAGAGTTGTGGCTCAAGTGGAACAGCATTAGCCTTGAACACAAAAGCTCAGGGACAGCACTTAGGCCCTGAGGTTCAAGCATACAAACATGTATCTGGGCAAACAGCATTTCAATCCTGCTAAAGCCCACGGAAGCAACAAGCAATGCCGTGTACGCAGAGGGGAGGCAGGAAGGTCTCCCTGCTCTGGAGGTGTAGTGTTAGGCTAACAGCTTTGTAACCTAGCTCCAGACAAGCTAGGTCCAAGTACCCAAGAAGTTTTCAACATGAAAAGAACACAAAAGGGGGGTATTTTTAAAAACAGAGTAAGTGTGGGGAAATGGGTGATGGGAAGGGAAGGGAAAGGAAGGGGAAACAAAGGAGGAGGCAACAATGCTTGATAAGAAATGTACTCATTATCTTGCCCATGTAATTGTTAACCCCTCTGTACAGTATTTTCACAATAAAAAAAAAAAAAAACACAAAATAGAGCATTAGCCTTGAGCTGAAGAGCTGAGGGACAGCGCCCAGGCCCAGAGTTCAAGCCCCACGACCAACATAAAAAAAAGAAAAGAAAAGTGGCGCTGTGGCTCAAGAGGTAGAGCACTTGCCTTGAGCTGACGAGTGCAGGGAAAGTGCCCAAGCCCAGAGTTCAAGCCCCACGACCAACAACAACAAAAAAAGAGCATAAAAGTATATTTACACTAAGTAATTTTATAATATTTCCGAAGGAGCTCTGCTTAGCATAGACTTTTACAATTATTATCCTCATTTGCAGACAAATAAAGCTGAGCAAGAGTCACTCCCCAAACCAAGTCTTTCTAAAACCCAAATTTCTCAGGAAGCCTGAGGAATACAATAAAGCCCTGACTTCCAGATAAAGGCCTCATTATGATAAACACTGAACAACAATTATCATATGCTCCACGAGACACTTCTGAGAGCCCCCAGAGTAGTTAGGCCCCACAAATGCAACAAGAGAAAACATTAAGTCAACAAGCAAACAGTGCCCCTCATTTTTTAAGCATGCCTACAAGAAATTCTAGTTGTAATCCAAGTAGGAAAAATTTAACGATCACATGTAAGTATCAAAAGGAAGATTACTCCCATGGTGATGACACCGTATGCCCCAGACTAGATTTTTAAAATATTCCTTATTAAAAAGAATCAAGGCTCTTTGGCTGGAATACACCACTGTTCCACAAAGTGCTTTTACAATGACAGAGGTGCTCAAAGGTTTAAAAATAGAATTGCTCCATGTCTGGGCAGTCCCCCTTCTAGTATATATCCAAAGGAATTGAAAACCAGATCCTGAAGAGATATTTGCTCGTTTGTGGTTGCATAGTTCACAAAAGCCAACGAAAAAGCAACATATGAATAGATTAAACAAAATGTAGTGCATGTATACACAATGGAATACTATTCTACTTGAATTTTATGAAAAGAAAATACCCCGCGACAAGCAACAAATTGACCATATCACATCCTATCCCAGTACCAGACAGATTACTAGAATGGCAGTTGGCAGAAGCTGGAGGGAGGGGAAAAGAAAAGGGAAGCAGTTATTTAAAGGCTAGTTTCAGTCATGTATCCCACTAAAGTGGCAGAGATCTGACAAGAGACCTGCTACACAAAACTGTGCCCACAGTCACACGACTACGCTGCACGCTTAGAAATAGCAAGATGACATTGTTTGCACTAGTTTTTGTTGTTGTTGTTGTTTTGTCAGTCATGGGGCCTGAACTCTGGGTCTGGTCGCTGTCCCTCAGCTCTTCAGCACAAGGCTAACGCTCTACTTGAGCTGCAGTGCCACTTTCAGCTTTTTCTGCTTATGTGGCGCTGAGGAACCCAGGGCCTCATGTGTGCAAAGGCCTCATGTGTGCAAGGCAAACACTCTACCACTGAGCCACCTTCCCAGCTCCACTAGATAGTTTTTACTACAATGCTCAACAATGCATGTGAAAAGGACACTGAGACCAACCTAAGAGGCTCTGCAAGCTCAAAACACTGCAACAAGGAAATGATCGCAAGGAACAGAACCCCTGGAAGAGGTGAATTTCCTGAGCAATTGGTCAGACAGATCGGTGAGGAGCCAGTACCTCCTCACTGGAGATATGTAAGAAGTGATATAGCAAGACACTATGGGCAAGAGGGAACACTAAAGAAAAGCAGGCCAGCGATGTGGCTCAAGTGGAAAAGTGTCTTGAACTTGCCTGTGTTCAATCTCTAGTACCATTAAAAAAGGCAGGACATGAAAACCAAAGCTCTTGTCCTTCAGGAATATAACACCTAAAGGAATGTATGAATTCAAATAATCTGATTGAACTAGAACTATCTACACACACACATTAGGGGGTTTTATATTAAACATGAGGTAAGGGATTAAGTATATCTATAATTCTAGCTACTGGGGAAGCTGAGATCAGAGGACTGCAGTTCAAAGTTAGCCCAAGCAGGAAGTCCAAGAGAAAAGCAAAAGGAAGGTATGGCTCAAGTATTATAGGACCAGCCAAGCTGGTCCATGAGCAAGCCAAGCAAACATGAGACCCTGAGTTCAAACCTCAGCACCAAAATATTAAAAAAAAAAAAGTCCAA